TATATATGGAAATTGTTCGAAATTAGATTAGATTAAAGAAAGCAAAATAGGGTAAGCAAGTCAATTATTGTTATAGCTAGAAAGAGAGAAATTAAAATTGTTATATTCAAATATGAGTATAGTAAAAGTATATTAAAAAGCATAGATATAATATGAAATCGATGAAGTATGGTTGTTCGGGTTCTAGGTCTCTACCTATATCTGCTTCCAACGATCTTGTAATTTTTTTTAAAAACAATTTTACTAATATATACATAGTGATTAAATAGCTTACTATTTATAGAACTCTTTCCATTTATGCATGTAAGTCACTTTTAAATAATTTAAATCAACTATGGAAATTTTTCAAAATTAGTTGATGTTTTTAAACCGTTCAGAACTACTGATCTTATAAAAATTCTAATCCCGTCTTAATTATCTCTCTTAATACATGTTACCTCCTGTCTTTAATATAAAATCTTATTTAACTTTTATTTTAGTCATAAATATAAGATCCTAATCCACTTTGTCTCTAATATTTATACATTTTTTTTTAAAGTAGTCTTTCTAATAATAATATGTATAGCCAATACAATTGATTAGAAAGGATATTTTAGGAAAGAAAAAACTTATTTATTACAAATAACTAACTTAACTTTTTTTTAATTTCTTCAAATTAGTCAACTAGTTCTTATAATTAGAACCGGAGATAGTATTTACCATCTTAATTCTGGAATATATCATAAAGAGGGGAAAACTTGAAAAAATAATAATGATGATGTTGTCTAAATTTTGTAAATTAGTGACTTGTGTTTCAAAAGAGAGGCAGAGATCAGAGAAAATACTGGTTACATTTACTTATTATTTTGAGTACAGTTGTTTAGAGTAATCTGTTTTGTTAAGTTATTGGATGTAGTTAACTTCCTGTAAAGTTCAATTACAATTTTTTAATAACTATATAATAAATATGTTATATTATTGACTAATTATTCATCAGATTTATACGTTAATGGGTGTAGATGAGAGTACATACTTGTAGTTATCTTTTTACCATCCACGTTAATGAAATTTCTTAAACCTTGACAAAATGGATTACTTGAAGCTTACGAGAGGCTTCTTCATTCTCAACCCGTGAGCTTTTCTTTCACCGATTTCCATTAGGTAATGGATAATTTATTTTTACAGTTTCACCTTGATTTATTTTACTTCCTTTCTAGATATAAGAAATATATATAACTAACTTTAAAATATTAAAAAATTATTCAAATTAGTTAGTTATAGAAAAAATGTACGTCAGTTTTCCTAATGATGAAATATTTCTTTAATACATGAAATCAGTAAGAAGAATTTATGGAAATTTTTTATAAATTTAATAAATAAAGTAAATTAAACATTACGTTTCATGTTAAAAACAATATTTTTACTGGCTTTTGTATTTAAAATTAAATTTGGAAGATTTGTTTTCTCCACCTAAAGGAAAAGGAAACAAAAAATGAAGGGAAATGGAAGGGAGGAATAAATAATGTAGTGGGTTTGCTAGAGGCAAGTGGGGGCGTAAAACCGAACAAAACAAATATGTCATTAATGGTCGGACACACCTACTTTTGAATTTTTCTACACTCTTATCATTATCCTCCAACTTTTACTCACTTCAAACCTCTGCCTTCTTTTTAGGACTTTTTGGCTCCTTCCTTGTCTTGTTTCTATTACTGCTAATAATAGGTTATAGCACAGTGACCAGGTCATTATTGTACGCACATCATATTTGGCCTATCAATAATTTTGGATTGTTTTGATTTCAAATATAAAATTTCAATTTAATTCATATTTTTTATACTATTTTTATTGGTTGCATATATTAAAAAGTTTTTTTATTTAAGTGAGTAATTTCGAATGCAGGTTGTTAAAATTGGTATTCTAGAAAAACTAGCATATTTTTGCCAATAACTCGCTTATGGAATTTTTCTAATCTTTCCACATTAGTTATTTAACTCTTAACTCTTTCTCTCTTCGGTCCTTAATATATAACCCAATTATTAAGTTGGTTTTGGTCTTAAATATAAAATCTATTTATTATATTATCAATTTCTCTAAAATACCCCTATGGATACTCTCTCAACCATAATTAAGTAGAAGAGAGAGAATGGATATTAAGAAAGATGATTATGGTGTTTTAAGAAAAATATGTCACTTTTCTTATAATTAACTAACTTACCTAACTTCCTTAATCTAATCAAATTAGTTAAACGGGTCTTATATTAAGGACTTGAGGAGTATTTAAGATTGGATAGAGTTGGTAAAAGCATAAATTAATATCAAACCTTGTGTATTTTTGCACTAGTTGATCTATCCCGCTCTTGCAATATGGCTAAGCAACTTGGGGTGATTGGAAACACCAAAAAACAGTTTAAAAAAGTGTTTTTACGTATTTTGAAATAAAACTCTTTTTTAAAAAGTGAATCCAAATACTCTCTAAATGATATTATCAAAATTAAAATTAATATATTTATTAAAACAATTATATATGAGTGCATCAGTTACCTTGAACATGAGAAATTCAATTCGATGAGTTTCGTTCTCAGAGACTTTTTTTTTGGAAAATTTGCGATTTACCCTTTGATAATAACAAAAAATTCGGTAATAAACTTGCCTAAACAGCAATGGATATATATTAATTAGGTTTTCCATTTATATATATTAATTAGGTTTTAAGAAAGTAGCATTTTATTTATTTTATTTCTTTACGTAAGGGATAACATAGGATATGCAGTGAGCTACGTGCGAATAAAATGGGAAAATTAAAGAGGGGGTGGGAGGGGGGTCCCTCCTGAGCAGGGCAGGAGTCCTTAGTGGGATTTTAGGTTCACTGGGTTTTTTAGTAGTCGGCACCGTCCCCTTCAGCTGGGCCACTCCCCAGTCCCCACTCAATTCTGTTCCTCCTTGCTCACTTTTATTCCATTTACGCGTCCCTTCCTATTATTCTATCTTTTCCTTTTCCTTGGGAAAAAAATTAAAATGAGGTGAGCAAAATTAAGGTGGACTATAGAGTTCAAAAAATATTTATAAAAGTATTTATAAATTATAATTACAAATTACTATCTAATAATAAGTGGCCATCGTAAGGTAAAAAATTAACTTATTAATAGGTTTCATCATATTCAAAATGCATCGTGATTTGTTGACATGTAAATGAGATATATAAGTAATTACTCTCTCTGGTACTTATTATAAACTTTAAATAACTAACTCACGAATATCAAATAATTAGTTAAAAATGATGAAATAAAATATGTGACAAAATATGATAAGAGAGAAATAATTAAAGACACTATTAAAAAATATATTAAATGTTAAGACAAATTAAAATTAAATCTTATAAAATAGATTATAGTACTTCTCAAATTTAAAACTCATGAATAGGACCAGAAGGAGTATATATTTTTGTTTAGCAGGAAATCATCTTAATGATGACGCTAATATCTATGCTTAAATGACATTCTAAACTCAAATTTGATGTCAATATGCTTACGTGTTGCATAAACAATACCATGATTTTGGGCATCACCCCCATACCTTTTTTGGTGTTTATCTTTTTCATTTTGAGATTTCATAGTAATTGTTCAGGTTAATATAATTTTTTATTCTTAAAATTTGTTTCAAACACGTGGTTTTAATCTTTAAAATTTAGTTTGTCTTAAAATATTAGTCTTCAGAGATATAACAGTATTAAAATTTGTTGAAATATCATACGCAATGTTAAAATAATGGTAGGAATTCATTAGATGATATTTAATTGGATCTTGTATAGATAACAAGAACAATTATACAGAAAAAAAAAAACAGTTTTCAAAAGGTAAACAATTCTTTAAGCGAACAACAAACAAGAAAAAAAGGTTTAAACAATTGTGTTTTGAAGGTGTTTTTTTTTTTCCTTCCCTTTGTTATCCACACACAAAATCCAGTTGGATACTACTATCTCCAGTCCTTAATATAAGATCTCGATTAATTTTTATTTTGATCCTAATTATAAGATTCAAATATATTTTGTCTCCTTTATTTGTGCTTTTTTTTTTTAAAAATAGTCCCTCTAATAATAGAAGTTCTAGCCAATAAACTTGTTAACAAGGATATTTTAAGAAAGAAAATACCTGTTTATTACAAATAACTAACTTAACTTATTTTTTAATTTCTTCAAATTAATCAACTAGCTCTTAAAATTAGGACCGGAGGTAGTATTTAGTGAGTTTATATCACCAATTTAATATTATTTACAACGTTTCAGCTGATTTTAATACTGTTATATCTTCAAAAACTAATATTTTAAAACAAATTAAATTTTATTCTATGGATTTAAAATTTGAGCACCAAAATTAAAATAGGTCTAAATTTTAGGGGACAAAATTATATGAATCCTAATTTTTATACAAACATTGCTTTTGAGTTTGGATTCCTCTGGGGAAAATTAAAATACGCTTTGAATTGTTATTGGAGGCCCCACCTAAAAATAGTGGCTCCCCAGACCCACACGCATAGCTTCTAAATCCCGCTTCTCCCCCCTCTCCCTACGCAACATCTTCTATTCTTAACCTTTTCTTAATATTATTAATTAATTTTCAAAAAAAAACAATTTGGTCAATAATGCCTAAATTTTGAAGCATCATATGAGATTCACGCCTTATTTTATTCATTCTTTTCTATTGCGATGCCCCATTCTTGGGATTGAAAAAATCTGCCCACAAGGTCAAATCAGTAATCTCACCCCACTTCCCGCTTCATATCCTCATATTCTATGGGTGCCACCCGACGTCGCCGTCACCTTAGACTGCCACGTCGTTCAATTCCGGCACCTCACAGCCTGGCTCCTCTACACATATTTCCACCAACCATCTACCTCCACGTGGCCTGACCTGATGTTGACACCTCTGCTCTTACAGCTGTCGGCCGCTCCTTCCCATATAAATACACAGTCCCGCTCGCCCCTTCTTTCCCATCTCATTCACTCGTGTCCTGTACTCTGATATTTGACCTTCGCTATGGCCTTTAATTACCGCTTTGCCACTCTCCCTTCTTCTCTATTGGTTCTTCTTCTCCTTCTCGAGCCGGCACTTGGGGCTCTGGTTCAGCAACAGCCTCTGGTTCTTAAGTACCACAACGGTGAACTCCTCAAGGGCAAGATCACCGTAAATCTCATTTGGTACGGTTCTTTCACTCCGGTTCAGCGATCCATAATCGTCGACTTCGTCCACTCCTTGGGCTTCCCGCGGACCCCGCTTCCCTCCGCCGCGTCCTGGTGGAAGACCACCGAGAACTACAAGGGAGGCTCCTCCTCGCTTATCGTCGGGAAGCAAGTTCTGTATGAGAAATACTCATTCGGGAAGTCGCTTCGTGGGAGCCATTTGCTGGCTTTGGCCTCCAAGTTCAACGATCTCAACTCCATTAACGTTATTCTCACGGCGAAGGATGTCGCCGTCGATGGGTTCTGTATGAGTCGGTGTGGCACGCACAGGTCGACCCGACCCATGAATGGGAAGCCACGGACTGCTTACATCTGGGTTGGGAACTCTGAGACCCAGTGTCCCGGCCAATGCGCGTGGCCCTTCCACCAGCCTATTTATGGTCCCCAAACTCCGCCTCTGGTGGCTCCGAACGGCGACGTCGGAGTGGACGGGATGATCATTAACTTGGCGACTCTGTTGGCCGGTACTGTCACGAACCCCTTCAACAATGGGTACTTCCAGGGCCCACCGACGGCTCCTCTCGAAGCCGTCTCTGCTTGCACCGGGGTTTTCGGAAGCGGGTCATACCCGGGTTATCCGGGCCGGGTTCTCAAGGACAAGACAACCGGAGCTAGCTACAATGCGAACGGCGCGAACGGGCGGAAGTATCTGCTGCCGGCGATGTGGGACCCCCGTTCATCGTCGTGCAAGACGCTCGTGTGAGGTGACGAGCCGGGGACAGGGAACAAGGGTGTGGATTAAACTGAGAAAGTATGTTTTCACACGCGGCAGGATCTGGTAAACGGTTGTAGATATGGGATCGTAAGAACGGGAGCAGGGGAAGGTTTGCAATTTACAGCATCCTAAGGTGCTTTTGTCGTTTTGTGTGACGTGGAAGTTCTGTTACTTGAAAAGGTCATGTTAAAAATATGGAGAACGAGGAATAAGAAAGGCTAGGAATATTGTATAATAGCAAGAATATAATATAAGAATACTTTTTATGATTTTGAAATGCATAAGCATAGTTGGGGGAAAATGAAGAAGCTAGGTACTACTGTTGTATTATTATAAACTATTTTGTGTTTTATATTAATTTGATCATTATGTTAATAAATTAGTAAAAAGAAATTATGTCATCTAGAGCTGTTCATGAAACGGATTGGGGCCGAAATAAACTTGTTCCTGTTCTGTCTGATAAACAGTAATGGGATAGATTTTTTATCCCATGTCTCGTCTCATTCTGGTTTTGTCCCAGTCAGGACGGGACTGGAATGTCCCAATATTTTTTATTAATTTTTTAATAAAATCTGATTTTCCTCCCTTAATTGTAGTGTTTTGAATTTAGGCTTTGTAAAAACATTTTTTTTTAAAATTTCTTTAGATACTCTTAAATAAAAGCTCAAAATATTACATATTATAGTCATTAAAAATTCTAAATAAAAACTTTTAACACAATAAAAACTTGCTAGAAATTCTAATCATCAATAAATATAAAAGCTCTAAATAAATATATTCATAATTTTATACAATAGTCTCGAATCTTTAAAAAATATATATAAATAAGGTAAAAAGTAAAAAAAAATAAAAGGGATTGGGATGGGACGATCTCATCCCGTGTCTGTCTCGGTTTGTCCTTTTAAAAACTTTTAAGACTGGTCCATCCTGTCTCAATAAAACCGGGGCCAAAAGAGGATGATCAGGATAGACTAGCTTTGAATACCCCTAATGCCACCTAAAACAAAATGAAGGTGATAATTGAATATTGAGAAGCAATAATTGAGAATTTTTTTTTTTTGACCTGGCAATAATTGAGAATCGAGTCTTCATTTGAATGATATAGGCAAATGTTCATTTTGTCTTTTAATTGATTGGTTTGGATTATTTATCATTTCTTACCATCGATTTTCAGCCATTTGTATTTTGAAAATAACTTTTTTTAATTTTAAAATTGGACAATAAATATCATAAGAGTTTTAAACTAACAAAATAAGGCAAATCAAAAGAATTATCCCATGGTCGCTACCTTTTGCATTGGAAAATGATAATCCCCTTCTAATCAAATTTTCGTATTGATTAAAACCCTAGCTATTTTTATTAAATACTCTTCCAATCCTAAATATAAGACTATATTTAGGGTTAGAGGAGTATTTTTTACTTCCTATTTCTGTGAAAGATCTTAATTTGAATAATGAATTATAATTTTTCATGGAATTTACCAAGAAACCTTGGTGACAGATTCAGTGCTTCAGCAACATTCATTCCCATGACAAATTATAATCTCTTATTCATTCAAATGTTATTATTGAAAATCTCATTCCATTGACTAATATTTTTCTAGTTTTTGTTTGCTTATTTCTGACACTTTTTTTTAATATCTAATTTTCCTGTTTTCTAAAACGGAATTTATCATGATGTGTTTTTTAATCTTTGTACTCGTCTTATTTTTATTCAAGGGTTCAAATGTAAATTTGTCAACTGAAATTTTCATTTGGGAATGCTGGATCCTCGAAAAAAAATTTTAGTATAAATTTGTTCTAAAATTTTTCTATATTGTTAAAAATATTAATTCTGAATGTTATTATTTTAACAGTTAATATTAGATTTTTAATGACAAAAGATATTATTCTCATAATTTTAAATTTTTAGAAGAAATTTGTATTCAACAAAGTTTTTGATAAAGTTTTTAGAACAAATTTATATCTTAATTTTTTATTAAACAAATGAAACATCGCATGACATCAAAATCAAGCCCGTCTTTCTCCTAAAGCTTCCCGAAAGCATGTGTATGAACAGTTCCAAAAAAAATTTGGTGTACCAAGACAATTAAAATTTGGTGTAAATAATTGTTTTAAAAAATAAAAAAAAAATCACCCCACATCCAGAGAATTCCACACGGTCCAACCCAAAAAAGAAAAAGAAAAAGAAAGAGAAAATAATAATCGCAGGAGCAACAAATGCAGGGAACAAGCACGGAAAGCGAAGCGAGAGGGGGGACGAACAGTGGGCTACGCAGAGAAATAGGAATAACAGGTGGCATATTGTTTGGCTAAGTTAAACAGCAGGAAGAGGGAATAATGGGGTCCTGCTTGGGGTGTGGGGGACCGGAATAAGCTATTCCTGCTTTGTCTTTCCGTCTCCAATCAAATCATGGTACTCTTGGCTCTAGATAAGCTCTTCAACCACTTCAAAACTTTTTTCTCTTCACCTAATCCCCTTTCAGCTTCTCTTTTAACCCCCTCTTTCTAAAACTAATGACCATGAATTCCACATATTATATTAGGAAAAAAAAAAAGGGGTCCCTTTGTCCTTCCTCCGGGTTCCAGAAAATGTTTTGATGTATTTTTTAGTTCTTAATACAAAATCTATTTAGGTTGTATTTGGGTGGTACTCCAAACCATGGTTTGGAGAATAAATCACTCAAACACCCACCTAAAAATCAAAATCATGGTTTTGGCTCCAAAATCATAGTTTTGGAAAAAGCAAAATTTTTTTGCTTTTGGAGAAAAAAAAGAAAGTGTGAGAGCCTATAGGATATGTATCTTGTTATTTTTTTTATAAACATATTTAATCTTATATTTTATAAATATATATACATATTAATTATTTATTAATTATATTATCTTATGTATTATTAATTATGTTAATAAAAAATATATTATTAAAAATTTTATTCCTTCAAATTAAAATATATCCTAAAATCTATTTTTTCTGTAATTATCATATTAACTTATGTCTTTTTTTTAGTAATTTGTATATGTAAAAAGTGCTTCTGATAACAACTATCCAAACACTCTCACTTCTCAGAATCTATTCTCCATAGAATCTATTCTCCAGAATCACTTTTTCAAACCACGGTTTAGTTTCATCCAAACACACCCTTAACTAATTTGATTAGATTAAGAAAGTTAGGTAAGTTAATTAATTATAAGAAAAGTGATATTTTTTTTTAAAACACCATAATCATCTTTCTTAATATCTTATCTTCCTTTTCTACTTAATTATGGTTGGAGGAGTATCTATATAGGTAATTTTAAAAAATTAATAAATATAAAAAATGAGTCTTATATTTAATATCAAAACTAATTTAATAATTGGGTCATATATTAAGAACCAGAGGAGTAACATAATAACCAACAAAGAAACAGAGTGATAGAATAGAATGGAATGATACTAATTTTTTTTTGGGGTGGGGGCACAGTATATATTGGGAACAACATAATACTCTTCCTATCTTAAATATAATACCTATTTTATTATGTAATTTATATTATAAAATGGGTATTATGTGTAGGACTAAAAAAACAATGTATATTGGAATTGTATGTTACATTGTGACTGTTAATAATACATAAGATATCCCTCAAATGCCTCCCATATCTGATCCCACAAAGATGATACAACCTTAGCACAAAATTCTGCAATTGTTGTCTGATGCAAACTCACTACTGTTTGGACTTGTTTAGGTTCCCTTGTATCACTCATTGCCGAACTTTCCCCCATATTTCTGGGCATCTTCCTAAAATACACGAAGCCAGCCCCAAAAAAGGAAAATGCTAAGTAGTTTTAGCGCTGAGTTTGCCCATCCTTTTCAAATATAGCAACTAGAATTTAAGGTTAAATTACAAATTAAATTTTATATTAATAATCGAATATAGTAATACTTATTAAGGAAGAAAATAAACTTTTCAGGTATATCTTGATCCTACTGAGCTTCCAGACTTAAGTCACTTAAATTTTTTTTGTATAAAAAAGAAGAGAAGTTTCGATTAAAACTAAAATACAATGACAAAAGCCTTACAAATCACGGCTTTCCTTTTCATTCAGGCTAAAATATAGTTTTATTCCTTTAACTTCATAGAAGGTTTTAATTTTGTTCTTTAATTTTAAAAATATTCTTCCAATCCTTAATATATGACCTAATTAGGAAGTTGGTATTCGTCCTATATATAAGATTTATTTAACATGTTTATCAATTTATTACAAAATTAATCCTATTAAATTTTTTTCCCAAACAATAATTAAGTAGAAGATGGAAAGAAAAAAATTAAGAAAGATGCATGTGGTATTTTAAAAAGCACATGTCATATTAATTAATTTAACAAACATCTTTAATTTACTCAAATTAATTAACTAGGTCTTCCATTAAAAATGATAATATTAAGATTTTGAATGTTAATAAAAACATTCTTAAATATTAACATATTAAATTTAATTTTTTAATCCAGTTCAACAACAAAACTGTGGAAGATAAAACCCGAACGAATAGAAAGAAATTTGAGTAACCCACCAATTAGAGTGGGTTACTTGGTTCACTTGTATTCTTTGCCTAGATATGTGGGAAAGCAGAACGAAGTGAGAACATTTTTTAGAGTACACAATATGGAAGAAAATAGGGAAATTTTCAGTGAGACTGGGAGCTTCATATTTACTATGAAAGATTAGAGTTAGTAATGTGGACTGACAGTACGGATACGGGCTAACCCGCAGTAGTGTGGACCAAAATAGTGTGGGTTTAAGTAGCCCACTAGCTTGTCTAAATATTTTTTTCAAAAAAATTATTATTATTTATATAGATTGAGCTTAGTTTGAAATGTTAAAATTAGATTTGGAGTTTTAAATTTAAATAGTGGGTTATAATTAAAACAGTATGAGGATTAACTTATAATTTGAGAAAATATTTTAGAAAAACTAACACATTTTTTCTAAATAATTAATTTGACTATTTTTCTTATTCAAATTAATTAAGTAAATCTTTTATGTGTGTATTACGTATGTAATTACATGAATGAGGCGATGTTAATGTGGAATTTGAGGATCAAAATTCTCTAACTATGTTATATAATATATTGGGAATTGCATGAAAATAAAAAAATTAAAAAAGAAAGAAAGAAAAGTTGAGCGGGTTAGAATAGCCTGCACCTTGGAAGATTGGCAAGCCCGCCAGACCCAACCTGTATTACTGGCACTAATCAGAAGTTCCAAATGGCCGCCCGCTGCTACTTTAGTGTTATGTATGGCATGGCAATAAAGCTACACATTGTGTACCTATACACGAGCTGATTATTGATACCTTCCTCTTTTTCACTAGTGATGTCCAGAAATAGAGCAGTCCCACTCGTTACTCATTTGTTTTGTT